ACTTCCAAAGGGATCTATGGTGCACAAAAAGCTTAAGAACTCTGGGTCTGTCCCCTGGTTTTGATTTCTGGAGTGAATAAAATCAGCTGAAATATCTGCGGTGCTTTATAGTCACAAAAAAGATCTTTCCACAAATTATCTCATTTGAAATTCAAAACCATCCTGAAGTAGGTGCTGCTACAGGTGTTATTAACACTATTTTACAAGTGAGGAAACTGAGGCTCAGAAGTGGAGAACCCCAGGGAAGATGATCCACAGAGGCGCTGAGAGGGTTCCCAGCCTTGGACACCAGACTCTGCTGGAAGCCAGCATTCCACTGTGGCGGCCCACCGGGGACCTCCCCGTCCCTTCCCCTGGATCCCTCGGCCCTTGGGCCCCAGCTGTTCTATCTGCTAATGAGATCATCCTCTGACACCCATTCGGCCAGCTCCTTCACAAGGATATCATGAGACTCTGTCAAGCATCTGGCTGAAATCCAGACACGAACCTCTTATCAGAGGAGGGGGGGTAAGACAGACGATGTATTTGAAGAAACTTCCCGTATTTCACCATTTCTTGCATCCGAGGATTGGAAAGAACACATGCTGGGCGTTAGGGGACCCTATTAAGGGTGTGTGCTGGAGCCAGCTCAACACCAGCTTGGGGGAGCTGAGTGTTAAATTTTTCACTGTGATCATTTATACCTCAGAAATTGGCAAACCCACAAATCAGGGTCTGATTTTTTGTTTTGTTGATTGGACTCAGGAGAGTGATGGAGAAAATGCTAATGCAGATTAAACTTGAATGTTTGTTGTACACACACTTTTGAAGAAGAGAGCCGGTTGTTAAACATTGACCAGCATTCCCCTGTCCTGACTCCACCAATTAGGAAAGGGCCAAAGTCACTCCATGATTCTGGGCGTGAGTTTGTTCGTCAGTAAAATGGGCTAAAAATGAGTTCTAAGGTCTAACGTTCATTATGATCCTAGTAGAAGACTACTCTCTGCTCTGATCTTTCCCTCCTCCCCCTTTGAAGAGCTAGTGTTTTAATCATTAGTTAATGCGGTAATGGTAATATTATAGATGAAGGGCCGGAAGCACCTGGCCTAGCACTCTCACGTTACAGAGGAGAAAAGCCAGGCTAAGACAGAGGTTAACTCACTTGCCAGGGCCTTTGACTCCAAAGTTGGCTCTTAATTAGCCGTAATTAGAGAAGGCTAGAAGTTATTTACGGGAAACAAATACTGCAGTGCTCAGCAATATAAAACATCGGGGCAGCCAGGGTGCCGTGGGGACGGGACAGACCTTGGAGTCGGAGAAATCTGAGTTTCACTAACTTCAGACACTTCCTAGCTGCGTGACCCTAAGCAAGTCACTTAATCGCTGCCTGCCTCAGTTTCCTCATCTGTAAAACCTCCCAGGATAGTTGTGAGGATCAGATGAGATCACCTTTGCAAAGCACTTAGCCCAGTGACTAGCACATAGTAGGTGCTTAATAAATTCTTGTTTCTTGCTTCCCTCCCTTCCTCCCTCCTTCCTTCCTTCCCTCCCTCCTTCCTTCCTTCCTTGCCTCCCTACCTCCCTTCTTCCTCCCTCCCTCCCTCCTTCCTTCTTCCTTCCCTCTTCCCTTTCTCCCTCCCTCCTTCCTTCCCTTCCTCCCTCCCTCCTTCCTTCCCTCCCTCCTTCCTTCCTTCCCTCCCTCCTTCCTTCCTTCCTTCCCTCCCTCCCTCCCTTCTTCCTCCCTCCCTCCCTCCTTCCTTCTTCCTTCCCTCTTCCCTTCCTCCCTCCCTCCTTCCTTCCTTCCCTCCCTCCTTCCTT